TCAGCAGGACTTGGAATTCCTGGAGAATTCATTGCCTTTGTGAAAGCTGACATAATTTCTTTAAACTTCATCTCTTAGTTTCCCATTTTGTTGTTTCAGAAAGATATCTAGAAACCATGAACAACTTTAGTAATGAAGAGTTTGACTGCCATTTCTTGGATGAAGGCTTTACTGCCACGGACATCCTGGACCAAAAAATGAAGTTTCTTCTTTTGACGGTAAGGATGCCTTCTATGTTGCAGACCTGGGAGACATTCTAAAGAAACATCTGAGACAGTTTAAAGCTCTTCCTCGAGTCACCCCCTTTCATGTAGTCAAATACAGTGATAGCAGAACCATAGTGAAGACCCTAGCTGCCACAGGGACAGGATTTGACTATGCCAGCAAGACTGAAATCCAGTTGGTGCAGAGTCTTCGGGTGCCTCCAAAGAGGATTATCTATGCAAATCCTTGTGAACAAGTGTCTCAGATTAAATACGCTGCCAATAACGGAGTCCAGATGATGACTTTTTTGTTGTTTGGGTTTTTTAAAATTAGTTTATTTATATATGTATGTGTGTATGTATTTATTTTTTGCTGCGTTGGGTCTTCGTTGCTGCACGCGGGCTTTCTTTAGTTGCGAGCAGGGGCTGCTCTTCGTTGCGGTGCGCGGGCTTCTCATTGCAGTGACTTCTCTTGTTGTGGAGCATGGGCTCTAGGCACCCAGGCTTCAGTAGTGTGGCATGCATGTTCAGTATTTGTGGCTCACAGGCTTAGTTACTCTGCAGCATGTGGGATCTTCCCGGACCAGGGCTCGAACCCATGTCTCCTGCATTGGCAGGCGGGTTCTTAACCACTGTGCCACCAGGGAAGCCCGAGATGATGACTTTTGATAGTGAAGTTGAGCTGATGTGCCAGGGCACATCCAAAGGCCAAGTTGGTTTTGCGGATTGCCACTGATGATTCCAAAGCAGTCTGTCGCCTCAGTGTCAAATTTGGTGCCACACTCAAAACCAGCAGGCTTCTTTTGCAACGGGCGAAAGAGCTAGATATTGATGTCATTGGTGTCAGCTTCCATGTGGGAGGTGGTTGTACTGATCCGGAGATCTTTGTGAAGGCCATCTCTGATGCCCACTATGTCTTTGACATGAGAGCTGAGGTTGGTTTCGACATGTATCTGCTTGATATTGGTGGTGGCTTTCCTGAATCTGAGGATGTAAAGCTTAAATTTGAAGAGATCACTAGTGTAATCAACCCAGCGTTGGACAAGTATTTTCCATCAGACTCTGGAGTGAGAATCATAGCTGAGCCAGGCAGATACTATGTTGAATCAGCTTTCATGCTAGCAGTTAATATCATTGCCAAAAAACTCGTATTAAAGGAACAGACAGGCTCTGATGATGAAGATGAGTCAAGTGAACAGACGTTTATGTATTATGTGAATGATGGAGTATATGGATCATTCAACTGCATCCTCTACGAAAATGCACACGTGAAGCCTCTTCTGCAGAAGAGACCCAAACCAGATGAGAAGTATTATTCATCCAGCATCTCGGGACAGACCTGTGATGGCCTGGATTGCCTGGTTGAGCACTGTAACTTGCCCGAGATGCATGTGGGCAATTGGATGCTCTTTGAGAACATGGGTGCTTACACTGTTGCTGCTGCTTCCACTTTCAATGGATTCCAGAGACCGACCATCTACTGTGTGATGTCAGGGCCAACATGGCATCTGATGCAGCAAATCCAGAACCACGATTTCCCACCCAGCATAGAGGAGCAAGATGTTGGCACTGTGCCTGTGTCCTGTGCTTGGGAGAGGGGAATGAAATGGCACCCAGCAGCCTGTGTTTCAGCTCTTATTAATGTGTAGATACTATTATTGTAGCTGTTAACTGCAAGTTTAGCTTGATTTAAGGGTTTGGAGGGAACCATTTAACTTAATTACTGTGAGTTTTGAGATGTCTATGTGAATAGGGTTGGCACAGATGCAACAATGTGGAAGACTAGGCGATGGGGTCACACTTATCTGTGTTCTTATGCAAACTATTTGAATATTTGTTTTATATGGATTTTTATTCACTTTTCAAACATGCTACTAAAGCATGCCCCTCAGCTGCTGAGCAAGCATTTGTAGCTTGTGCATTGGCAGAATGGGCCAGAAGCTTAGTGTTGTGACCTGTTTAAAATAAAGTATCTTGAAATAAATTAAAAACGATATTCATGCATATGTACTCAAAGAAATATTACAGACCCCCAACACTAGTTCACCTACAGAGAAATAATAAATAATTTCCTCTCATTGTCAGAGAGATCACTAGGAGACATGAACACCCAACTTATTTAACACTTTGAGGTATCAGTAAAAAAAATACCATTGGAAAAGGATTAAAATCATCTCCAATTGCAGAGCATATGGATGTATATTTAGTAAGCCCAAGGAATCAGTGGAAATTTGTTACAGAAAATAAGACGACAAAATATTGTAAAGAGTATAACATAAGCATATAGTACACAATTCATACAGACACATTCCAAGCAGTTACAAACTACATAAAAAGGAAGCCTCTAATTTTACAAGTATAAAATAAAATAAATAAAAATAAATCTAGGGCTTCCCTGGTGGCGCAGTGGTTGAGAGTCCGCCTGCCGATGCAGGGGATACGGGTTCGTGCCCCGGTCTGGGAAGATCCCACATGCCGTGGAGCGGCTGGGCCCGTGAGCCATGGCCGTTGAGCCTGCTCGTCCGGAGCCTGTGCTCCACAATGGGAGAGGCCACAACAGTGAGAGGCCCACATACCGCAAAAAAATAAATAAATAAATAAATAAATAAATAAATAAATAAATAAATAAATCTAACAACACATGAGAAAAGCCTATATAAAAAAATTACCATGAACTCCTTATGTAGATAATACAGATTTGAAGAAGAAAATCAAGCTATTTCCTTAAATATAATAACGAATGTTTTATATCAATTAAAAAATTCCAGTACACATGTGTGTATATGTATACATATGTATATTTGTGTGTAGAGATATATATAGAGAGATAGATATAGATATGTTTATATTTGTATATATTTGTATGTGTATACACAGATATTTTTCTGGAGATTGATAATATATTGTTTACATAAAATAATGAGGAAATATATATAAAATGTACCTAAAATTGTTACTTTATAAAATTAAAGATTAGTTATTATTAACTTAACTATACTTTATGTACATTTCATGGAAACTACTAAGAAAAACTCTACTGTAGTTACACAAAAGATACAGAGAAAGAGTGAATTGAGGGCTTCCCTGGTGGCGCAGTGGTTGAGAGTCCGCCTGCTGATGCAGGGAACATGGATTTGTGCCCCGGTCCGGGAGGATCCCACGTGCCGTGAAGCGGCTGGGCCAATGAGCCATGGCCGCTGGGCCTGCGCATCCGGAGCCTGTGCTCCACAACGCGAGAGGCCGCAGTGGTGAGAGGCCCACGTACCTCCAAAAAAAAAAAAAAAAAAAGAGTGAATTCATATCACGTCAAAAAAAACCCCAAAAAACAAAAACAAAGGAACTACAACAACAACAACCAACAGAAAATAATGAAAGAGTAATTGTAAGTCCTTGTCAACAATTAACATAAACTTAAGTTTCATTGATATTGGAGTATAGTTGATTAACAATACTGTGTTAGTTTCAGGTGTACAGACAAGTGATTCAGTTATATATATACACGTATTCATTCTTTTTCAAATTCTTTTCCATTTAGGTTGTTACATAGTATTGAGCAGAGTTCCCTGTGCTATACAGTAGGTCCTTGTTTGTTATTCATTTTAAATATAGCAGTGGGGGCGCTTCCCTGGTGGCACAGTGGTTGAGAATCTGCCTGCCAATGCAGGGGAAACGAGTTCGAGCCCTGGTCTGGGAAGATCCCACGTGCCACGGAGCAACTAGGCCCGTGAGCCACAACTACTGAGCCTGCGCGTCTGGAGCCTGTGCTCCGTAACAAGAGGCCGCAATAGTGAGAGGCCCGCGCACCCCGATGAAGAGTGGCCCCCGCTTGCTGCAACTAGAGAAAGCCCTCGCACAGAAACGAAGACCCAACATAGCCAAAAATAAATAAATAAATTAAATAAACCATATTCTCATGTGAAAAAATTTTTTTTAATTTTTTAAAAATATAAATAAATAAATATAGCAGTGGGTACATGTCAATCCCAAACTCCCTAACTAACCCTCCCACTCACCCATCCCTCCCAGAACCCTAAATTTGTTCTCTAAGTCTGTGAGTTTTTCTGTTTTGTAAATAAGTTCATTTCTATTATTATTTTAAGATTGAGCATATAAGCAATATCATACAATATTTCTCTTTCCCTGTCTGACTGACTTCACTCAGTATGACAAAACCACTTTTCTGACAGTCCAGTGGTTAAGCCTCTAAAGGGGTGTGGATTCGATTCCTGGTTGGGGAACTAAGATCTCTCATGCTGAGGATCCAGCAAAAAAACAGAAAAACTCAGACTTAGAGAACAAATGTACGTTACTAGAGAGTGGTGATAGAACTCCCTGGTATACATAGGTCCTTTTTGATTATCTCTTTTATTGGAATACAGTGTATTTGTTAATTCTATCCCTCTAATCTATCACTTGACCCCTTCTGTCCTTTTTGGCAAGCATATGTTTGCTTTCCAACTCAATGAGCCTGTTTCAGTGTTCTCTAATTAGTTCAATGTTGTGTATTTTTTTATTCCACCTATAAGCAATATGATATTAGATTTTAAAAATCTGATTTAATTTCTTTAGTATGATTATCTCTAGGTTTTCAATGTGCCTGCAAATGGCATAATATCATTTACTTAAATGTCTGAGTGTTAGTGCATTGCTTACATGTGTCAGTTCTTTATCTGTTCATCCAGCCTAGACATTTGTGTGCCTACATGTTTTGGCTCGTGTAAATGGTGCTACAGTGCACACTTGGGTGCATATGTCTTTTCAAATTCTGGTTTTCTGCACATATACTCTTAGGGGTGGCAATGGCAGATCATATGGTAGCTCAGATTTCAAGTTTGAAAGCACTTCCATGTTGTTCTCTAAATTGGCTGTTAAAATTTGCAACCCACCAGCACAGTAAAAGGGTTTGCATTTCTCCGTGCCCTCTACATCATTTATTCATAGTACATTTTCAATGATCACCTTTCCAACTGGTGCAAGGAGATCCCTCATTGTGATTATGATTTGAATGTCTCTGCTAACTGCTATGTTGAGCATGTGCTTATGGGCTGTTTTTTTTTTTTTTTTTTTTTTTTTTTTTTTTTTGCGATATGTGGGCCTCTCACTGTCGTGGCCTTTCCCGTTGCCGGATGCGCAAGCTCAGCGCCCATGGCTCACGGGCCCCGCCGCTCCGCGGCATGTGGGATCCTCCCGGACCGGGGCACGAACCCGTATCCCCTGCATCGGCAGGCGGACTCTCAACCACTGCGCCACCAGGGAGGCCCTGGGCTGTTTTTACTCATAATTAGTGTGAGTAGAATTTACCTGTTGAAAATGTCTCCTTTGAAAGTTGGCCCTGTTTTCAATGATTTTGGAACACTTAAGCCTGGACATTTTGTGATGTCAAGTATCATTTAGAGCCCAGGAGTCCTTGGGAATATTAAGTGCACATAAGAAATCTTTTTGAGGTTCCTTTGCAAGAAACGTTCATGAGGCGCAGGATTTCCTCAGACTGAACTCTGCTTAGGCCAGCAGCCAGAGCCTTACGGGAAATCCTCTTTGGGGTTTATAAATTAGAAAGGAATGTGCAGAACAAACACTCAAATCTTCTGCCTCATTATGACAGTTTAATTAATTAGAAAAATTTCTTTTTTTTTTTTTGGAATAACATTGATATACAGTATTATGTATGTTGTAGGGATACAGAACCATTTTCAGTTATACATATACACATATGTATACATGTTTGGCTTCTTTGCCCGTTTAGGTTATTAGAGAGTGTTGATAGTCATTCCTAGGTATACATAGGTTCTTGTTGATATTTAGTTATACGAAATATTTTGTATTTTTAATCCCATCGTTGTAATGTATCCCGTAACCCCTTCTGTCCCATTAGGTAACTATAAGTTTCGGGGTTTTTTAACTCTCTGAGACTGTTTATGTTTTTCAATTATTTAAATACTGTGTCTTTATAGATTCCAACTATAAGTGAGTTCATATAATATTTGTCTTACTGATTCTCACTTACTTCACTTCGTATGATTATCTGTAAGTTTATCTATGTTCCTGCAATTGGCATTATTTCATTCTTTTGCATGGAGGAATTGTATACCACTGTGTACATGGATCATTTCTTTTTTATCTGTTCATCTGTCCATGGACATTTTGTATGTCTCCACATCTTGGGTATTGTAAATGATGCTGCTGTGCCCACTTGAGTGCGTGTGGTTTTTCAACTTCTGGACTTGTCAGCCTATAATTTTAGGGGAAACTCTTCAGGATCATAGGGTAGCGCTCTTTTTAGCTTTTAAAGGTACATCTTTAATGTTCTCTCTAGTGGCTGTTACCATTTATTTCCCACCAGCTCCATAAAAGGATTTCCTTTTCTTCATGCCCTTTCCACCATTCATTCATTTTTAATTTTGGTGATGGCCTTTTACTCTGGTGCAAGGTGATCTCTCACTGTAGTTTTGATTTGCATGTCTATGCTAATTGCTGTGTTGAGTATGTTTTTATATGCTGTTTTTCTTCATATTACCTGTGCGAGTAGAATTTACCCGATTCAATTGCCTTCTTGAACGTCTTCCCCTTTTCAGTGACATTCGAATACTTTCGCATGGACAGTTTTTGATGTCAGGTATCATTTAGGACCCTGCAGTCCTTGTCAATACAA